TCTTTTACTACCTTCCTGTAAGAGTTTCTGTAGTTTCCTTTCTATGTTTGCTATCAACACCGTGTCATTTGCATATCTTATGTTTTTCAGATTGTGATTACAAATAATGAATCCTTATGAATGACTTATTTTGCTCAGGATCACCTCACTGTAAAGTTGAAATAAGTCCGGTGAGAAGACCCACCCTTGTCTTATACCCCCAACCCTCCTTACTATTTTTGTGTATTTACTAAATGCATTTTCTATCCTCATGTAGGCAGTTTTCTCCCAATATAAATTCTGGATTATTCTAATATCTTTCCTAAATAAATCAAGTTTAATTAGCAGTTCAAAAATTTCTTTGTGACATACTTTATCAAACACTTTTGGATAATCTATAAAACATAGGTATATGTCCTTTTGCATTTATATTGCTCTTTCTGTTATCATTCTGAGTATAAATATTATATTCCTTGTTCCAGTGTCTTTAACAAAACCACACTGTTCTTGTCCTATTGCTGGTCTAATTCTGCTGTGTGTTCTTTTTATCTGAATACAGTTAAGTTTTACCATAATTAAACTGATTGTCTAATGGAGTTTGCATTTATTCTCTTGAAACAATTTATAAAATCTTTCCCTCAAGATAATTTTTCAGAAAAATAGGTTTTCCAAGTTTAGTAGCTCTTTCCAGTATTGATGGGGGTTTCCTATCTAACCTTTTATTTGAAGTAGTGTGGAATGTCAACACTTTGATTATCCCATTATTATCTACTTGAGAGACACATCCATTTTAGCTGTTGCTACTGTTGAAAGTTTTTGAGGGATGCAGTTTCTGTTATTTGGTAGTTCTCTCTTTTTGATTCGGTTGTGCTAATCCACAAGGTTTGAAGAAGGCTGATCCTCATAAGACCTAAAGATTTCATTTGCTCAAAGTCATTCTTAATCATTGAACTGAGAAAATGCTTATATACAACTAACAGTTTAGATATTTCTGAACAAAATTATTGCCATGCATGATATCCATATGAAAGTCTCAATCAGACAAAACTATTTAAGAACATAACTGTAGTTCTTAGGTTAATGTTTTAGTTTTGTAGCAATTTGTGAAGTTAGAATAAGCTGAACTCAGGTTTGTTTTGCCTATGTTCAATTTCCTTATCTCCTATACTAAATTTATTATAACCAATCCATACTTCGTATTTGAAGCATTTTGTATTTACTAATTCAACATTCTGAATTTTTATGATGGATTCAGGTTACGTGTCATTACTGTTTTCATTCCAATACCAGATAATAATTTCTGTTTTGGAAAGGTTCATCTTGAGTTTAACTTCTTGGAACACTTAGGAGATGTTGATTTTTTTTTTGTTCAAGATCATTCTTACCTTAATTATGAATACCTATGTCATCAGCAAAGGTCTTCCAAAGTGTTTAATCTACTGAATCTCAACAATGATTTATTTACACAGAAAACGTTTTCAATGTCTACCATAATTCTAGCTCCATTCCCAAAAGAGTAAATAAAAAAATAAAAACATCCAAAAAGAACTAACTCCTAAATTTTCCACTATCTTTATGTATCATCAAAAAGTTTACATTAAAAACAGTTTCTTAGAAAGAAATTCCTAACTTACAAATAAAAAGAACTTTTTTTTTTAACGTTTTTCAGGACATGGGCAATCATGGCACTCCAAAACGTCTTGGAAAAATAAGCCTTGTGTTTCCCCTTACCTTCTGTACATTGCTGAATTCAGAGTGGTCTTTCTCCTAGACTGGCTACCATCCAAGGCTCAGGATACTATTTAACCTATATTAGCATATTTGTACAAAAGTTAATGCAAAAGACAAGACCAGAAATTGAAGTTGGCTCACCAATCCACTGATAACCAATATTTTGGTAATCGAATATGTTCTTGATTGAAAGAAAATAAGATCATAGCAAGGAGTGAATGGGGAAGAATTTGATTTCCTTATTTAACAGCATATCAACTCTTTATAGGTCATTTAATGCCAAAATTTAAGTTGGTTAGTTGATTTTGTATAGTATTATATAAATCTGTATTGGTTATTTAATCCTGAAATCTAAATATTTTGAACACAATTTTATGGCTTCAACTACAGATAAAATGCATTGTTGGTAATTTTACTATAAATATATATCTTATATAAATGTATTGCTGTCAAGTTCACCATAAAATATATATTTGTTTAGGGGTTCACTAATTTGCCCATAGCTGGAACCCTAAGAGGTGCTACTAGCTCGGATCAGTGCCGAGGTGAGAACAACAGCAATTAAGAGATGATTCCATGCTCCTCAAAAGTTCCAATCTCCCCATCAGAGGGAATGAGGAAGAACTTGCTCTTTTTCCTGTTTCTTGTGTTTTGGGTGGTAACTGTTTCTCAGAGACATGAACACAGCTTTCTTTAAAATCTTTCAAAATTGACTAAAAGATAAAAAGTCTAAATATCTAACTAATGAGAAGCAAAAAAAAAAAAAATCATCTTGACCATTTTGCGGGGATTGAAGAAAAGAAATGAGATTTTTGGAACAGGACGAATAAAATCAATTCAGTTACAAATAAACTTTTAACTTCTATTCAACAGTAATGGCTGGCTGGGAGTTATTATTAAAAGGAAAGACCAAAGGATTTTTTGATTATTAAATTATATTTTTTTCTAGAACCTTTGAAATTTTGGTTAAAATTTCGTTTTTCTTGCGTCAACAGGTGACCATAAATTAATATTTGGAAATTTGAACATCTTTTCTTTTTGCAGGGAAAAACGCGTGGATTTGTAAATTCTTCCAAAAATCAGATAATTGTTGAATTTTAATAATCAGGACTTAATCACAAATGAAATTATTTTAGAAATGTTTATAATTTTATATAGAATTTTTTTTATCATCTGTTACAACCCCTCTCCACTTATTTATGAAATTTCGAGAAGTTCATTTTTGTAGCTCTTAATGATGTTATATTTAGTTTATATAAACAAAAAAATAAAATAAAATAATTGCAAAAAAAAATGTTTGACATCCGATATACTAAGTGACTTTTTAAAAGGCTTCTCTCCTTAACGCACGAGTAAGCAAGCAAGAATGGTAGACCAGTTCGGTGATAATTGACTTGATAAAGTTTTCGAACTTCATTTCTGAAAAATATTTTTCCTGGTGATAAAAATAAATAAATAAAAATATTGGTACACATTGATGTCTAGGTAGGATGTTTCTTTATGTCGTATCTCCGACACGGAGACAATATGAAGGATTTCGCTATGTTATTTTCCGTGCAGAATATGAACTCGTGATCGAACAGTGATAAAAAAAAATTTAAAAAAATCAATCAATAGACGAGGATAAAAAGAGAAAAAAGCCGATATATGGGTGGGGGACCAAATTATCAAGAAGGAAACGGATTCAAATATCCCACTTTTTCTTATTTAAATGGAAAACTAATTTAAATTTTAATTTCAGTTTCTTCTTCCTTAATCTCATTTTTAATCCCTCAAATCTTCAACACTGTCATTCACACGTTAATCTGCATAGCATACTTCAAAGACATTTTTAAATTATTTAGTTAAATGCGTTTTTTTTTTGGGGGGGGGGTTCGCTTTAGAAAGTCAGTGGCGGTACTTAATTAATTATTCCCGAAGTAAAGGTCTCAAGAAGCAGCACAAGGTCCTGGCATCTGCGGTTAGAAAGCCGGTCGCTAAGACTAGGCATTTTATTTTTTTAGATAAAAAAGAAAAACACATTTCATTTATGCGAAATTGTTTTTGACCCCGCATTAAAGATGTTTGCGTTAAGTTTTTTTTTTTTTTACTCTTGCCATTTTTTGGGCTAAAAATAAATATCATTTTTTTCAAAAATCAAAAAAAACAAACTTTTCACACCTCACTTTTTTCTTAGAAATCAAATTTAAAATCTGTTGTAACATAAATCACAAAATAAAACTAAGATTTTTCTTCTATTTCAAGCTTTTTTTTGTCATTTTCGCATAGTTTGAAATGCGATAATGATTTTAGTTGTCTTTTCATTTTTCAAAATAAACTAAGAAAACATCACAATTTATTTAAGAATGCAAATTTTGAGAATTTTGTCGTCTTTTCAACAGAACCATTCCTGAAGTAACTAAAAAAAAATACACAGCCTATGTGCTTTTAAGCAAAAAAATGCTTAAGTTAAAATGTTTCGCTTCATAAACCTTTTCTACAAAATTTTTGTTTTTACAAGTAGAATGTTGAAAATGAAAATGTGTGTTCAAAAAAATAAAATAATTGCAACAAAAATGAAAGTAAAAAAAAGCAATGAGGACAAAAACAAACGAATTACAAGAACTGATTTGTTGAAAGTCCTTGTTGCCTTTCTAACTGAAAGAGTAAAGCAAAAAAAAAAAAAAAAGGGGGTGGGATATCACAGAGTAATTCAAATGGTAAATTTAAAAATGTTAACTTTCAAATATATGAAATTACTTATAAATTATAAAAAACAAAATAAGTAGTACGGTAAAGCATTATTTTATTAAAATTGAAAATAAAACAATAATTAATTGTAAAAGTGGAAGTTAAAAGTTTCATATGAAAAAAATGACAAAAAGTCCGATTTTTTCTTGTCGATAACTCCAAAAAAACGGTAAGGTTTCTTCATAATTTAATTGTTAATTCGTGTTCAGCATGTACATTTGCACGGAATTATGACGATTTTGGAAAAATTTTAAGGGATATTAGCGCTCGGGAAACAAAACCAAAATTTACCATTCAAATTAGGATTAAAAATTAAAGAAAAAAAATAGTGTAACTGGAATGAATGTTGTGTTCGGTGATTTGAAATAAATGAAGATAATCCAAAGAAGAAAAATAAATAAACACTGAAACATCCTAATTTGTGTGACTGTGAATTTCGGTCGAACCCAAACATAAACAAACTGAGGAGGAGGCTATATAAATCCTGTTTAAATGCGATAATAAAAAACGATAAACAAAAGATAAAATTCCTAAAAAGCACATTACAACATTTTCCTTACCTTGACATCTCAAAAAGATTTCGAAAATTAAAATAAAAATCCATTTGTTAAAAAAAGTTTGAAAATTGTGTACACTCTTGTTCGCCATGTTCCTTCCTTTTTCTTTAAATTCTAAATGGCCAAGACAAATGAGAGAGCGGGGAATCTGAAACCGTCCAATCAGCTGAAAAAATGTCCGGTTGCAGAAAAAAAAAAAAAAAATCAACTACTTAAAATGATAAATTTAACAAGTTGCTGGTTTGTGTGCTCTAAGCTACAAAGATACACATCGACATCAACGACGTCAATATATTGGCAATGCGCTTAAGAGGATGTTCTTAGATTAAAAAAGAAAAGAAAAAAAATTTCGCCGAACTTTTCGCGTCACGTTTTTACAAAGTGTACGAACGAAAAAACACGACCACTCACCAACTCCGTCATCATTCACCAAAAGTAGTAAAAGCCGACCGATAAAAAAGAAGGGAAAGGTTAGTTATTTTTGTTGCTGAGAAAAGGAAAAATCCTATATAATTCAATTTTCTCCTTATTAGCAACGACGGCGGAAGAATTTGAGAGAAAATATTTCAATTTCTGGTGGACGAAGGAGGAAGGAAGAAACTGAGATCGGAAGAAAGATGATAGGCGACAGAAGAGGACCTAATAGGCCAAAAATTCGTGTATTGCCCATTCACCGTCTAACCCCGCCTTCTCTTCCTCATCTTTTAGCCCCAGCACTAGGCTGATAAGAAGCAGGCTAGTCCACAGCTTTTCAACACGAAATTTAATCAGTGAAGTGAGTGGGGAAGAAAGTGTGTGTGCTTTAAAGCCTAGAGTTATAAATTGTCATTAACACTTTTCCAAGCCGAGGTGAACCTCTTGGCTATGCAATTTTGGCAAATGAGAAACGGCTAAAAACGAAACTTCTTATAGAAAACTATTTCAAAGGCTTATGACAAGAAAAGTTTTAAAATACATCACGAAAGACAAGTTTCGAACGTATTCCTTATTAAATTAAACTTTTAACCTCTAATGACAAAAGCAGACGACAGTTGGGTACGGCACACCTCATCACAAAACAAGCAGACAAATGGCCCGAAAAAAAAAAAAAAGATGACAAGTTTCGCTCATTTAAACACGAGAGCTAATTCCAATCAAGCACACCACGCTAATTATGACGAGATATCCACACATAGCATTACTTCACTCTGATCGAAATCTTTCACGTGCGCATTTTTCTTCCCGCTCTTTTTATCATGACAACCAATCATGATTTGCCGCCTTCTACTTTTCATTAATCAACAGTTCAACATTGTTTCAAATTCCAAATTCTTACCTTCTTCAAACACAAGAAGTCCATACATCCACAAACTAAGTGTGGCAAGAGAAATTATAAAATCTCCATCCAATTTACATATTTCTATATTATTATTCTTTTATGTGCCCTGTCCTTATAGGGCGTGGACGATTATAGCAATCCACAACTTCCTATCCTTTCTAGCTTTTATAAATGTTTGTCTTTCTTACTATCCCTCTCAGTCCCTGATTTGTCATCCACTGTTAGGTAAGTTACTCGCCTCTATCTTGTCTTCAATGTCATGTGAGTGTTAAATTTTCCAAGCCTTCTTTCCTCATTATGTGTCCTGGAAATTTCAACCGCCTCTTTCTGATTCTAAGTAAGTGTCTTAGTTGTTTCCATTTTCATTAAAAGTTCCTCCGTCCATTCTCAGCATCCTTCAATAGAACCAGATCTTTGTTGCCGCAAGTCTCTTCTTCATCTGTGAGGAAAGTGTCCAGTATTCATTTTCGTAGAGGATTGATATTTTATAGCAGTTCGGCACTTTTTCCTATCTTTTTAATGAAAATCTCGTGATAGTTTGCTTAGCTTTTGGAAGGCATCTTTCGCTATTCCACTGTGGCTTGGATTTCTGTATCATATTTTCCATCGTATGTTAAAATCCTCCTAGATAATTAAATATGGCTCGATCGAAGACAGTCTTCAATATCTCAATCTAAACAGAATCTTTGTCTAAATTAAAAGGGAATTCTTTATTACGAACTGCACAAACCTGAACAAACTGTCTGTGCACCAATGTTACTATGAGACACTGACTTGTTTAAAGAGTAAAGACCTTGCCTTTGCTGCATGACGGCACGCGTCCTCAACTTATACCACAAATTATGCTGGAGCATCACAGGTGATGTTTCTCTATATGTGGTGTCAGGATTCCAATCTCGTGCCTCCAATCTATGATACGGGGGCCGCACTGTACTAAATCTCAATTGACATAAAGTAGTATTCATATAAAATACAAATTTAATTGTAACTTAATTATGTACAATAATGGATCGTATGCAATCCAAGTAAACAATTCAACGAGTAAAATTTAAAATAAATACAATGTATCTAAATAGTAAATATAAATTAGAGACATGTCATAATAGATAATTCCATCTTACTTAAATAAAGTGACAATTTTTAACATCACCTTGAGATCTTGTTAAAAAAATTGAATAATGTAACATATTCAACATTATGCATAAAAAAATAGCGAATTTTTTATAGTGTTTTTTCAAGACTTAGCAAACTTAGCCAAACAGAGCCACGGATTTGGGCGAAAAAAGACACTAGAATGACGTCAAATTCCGTACAAAGTTTTCATCCTTTCATAGTCACTGTGCTTAATTTAATTAGTAAGCTATATAAATATAGGTAGAGAAAAAAGTAAATGTTGATAAGAGGATCCGAAACCACTGCCCGGGGCTCCCAATCAGGCTAAGGATCCTGGGTGTCGTCTTTTCTAAAATTATAATTTCACTCCACGTAATCACTTCCCTCCGTCTAGTTAGTGGTTCAAAAAAATAAAATAAAAATAACGAGAGATTTTCCGGAAATTAAAATCGTTCTTGTATGACGGAATACATAGCTGAAAAATAAGTCCTTCATAGCAAAGAAAATATTTGATAATGATATGTATTACGCAAATAAGACATGCTGGAAAATTTATCGACCAAATAAAAGCTTGTACCTCTATTAACCATGTCGAACACAAGTATGTTTGCAACATGTTTAGTTGTAGTATTAGTTCACATAAAATGCAATGTGTATCCGCACGTAAACAGTGCCATGTTTTTGACGAGTGTTATGTTTGGAATAATTAATTAAAAATATTTTTTTTCTTTTTATATCTGATCCAAACATATTTGGGAGTTATACATTCAAAAACAGGAAAACTATATCTGATTTGCATTCTACGATATGAACAATAGAGCGAGATTTTTTTTGTTGGTTATCGGTTTGAGATTGTCGCATTGATAGTGGAGTCCGTTCTCTTTCTGTATTCACAGGAGGTCGTTTTCACAGCCTAATGGTGGGATGGGAAGTCAGCCGTGCTCTCTATGGTTAGCGCGTGTGTGTGAAGTCTCTCTCTGTCCTGTCCGGCTTCTCTTATAGCCTATATAAGGGAAACGCACGGACCTAGTTACAGAAATCTGTGGCAAACGAGAGTCGCGTCGATAATGGCCAACACTCTGGATATATTTATGTTTGTTTTAAAAATTGTTTTAAGTAGAGTGCGGCGTGTATGTGACTTAGCTAGACGAAAATTGGTGTGTCCTTAGAGATATATGTTTTCAAATAATTGTATAAATTTGGTTTTAATTTGTTATCTTCAACTATGTTTAAATTGTGTTTTTCTGCTACCAATTTTGGTATCATAGCGAAGAGTTCATCCGAACAATTACCGTGAAAGTATTTTTTAAAAACTCACAGAGATGGCAACCTTACGACAATGGGAATGTGACTGAATCCGAGACGCCAGATCAGCACCAATAATATTGCTAATTCTTCTTTGAATTTTATCAAGGAGATCAAGTTAAATAGCAAGGGCACCGGACTATATGTAGAAGAGATATTCTAAGCATGGACGAATGGTAGACTTATAGATATGTAAGATGTTTGAGAGTTACAAAGATTATATATATATATATATATATATATATATATATATATATATATATATATATATATATATATTCTTAACAATAATACAAATGTGCTTAGCTTATATCTATATATAAATAAATAAATAAATAAATAAACAATTACAACTACAACCTACCAACAATAAAATATCAAATTTGGGAAGGAACATACCAAATATATTTAAATAAAAAAAATGAAAAAAAAAAAAAACGGACAACACGACCTGTCACGTGAACACGCGGCTATGCACACAAAACATGAAAATAACGACACAACGCAACCCCCACAAAGTCTTTGAAAATGGTTAACGATAGGCGAAAGTACTCAGGCACTAGACAATTTCTATCTAAATATTTACCCAAAACAAAGGAAATTATCCGAAATGTAGAAAAAATAAAAAAATAAGATATTTCGTTGGTCTCTGACCAAACTTGTATAAACGCCTAAATACATTCACTATAATAATATAATTATACGATACCCACCAGATCGATTCATCAAGGAATCGACTTAATAATATCGGCCAAGGGGAAACGATGCGAGCATGCAACACATTTAGGAAGTGTCTGAAAACTATACGACGCCTTGTGAGTGAAACTGGGGAAACGAAACTGTTCGAAAGCGGTCGATAGTTTGTGCTAGCACGAAGACACAAGTCATCGTGACCGAGGGGTGGAGCGTAATGACCATGATTATGTCAGATTTTATGCAATCTCCAAGAAACTATAACTATGGTCTCGGCATAGTTGTAATATAAACCACAGGTTGTATCTGTGACTGTTGAAGAAACAAAAATGTACGTGAGTTGATGTTTGCAATACTGATTGGCCAGTTACCGTACCAGACGGGCAAACTAAGAAACGAACAGCCAACCATTATATATTACAATGAATCATTCATACAAAAAGTAAATTAGTAAAGTTAATGATATAAAATGGCGAATCCCATCGCTAACAAAATTTTAAAGGTGCATTAACCTACCAATCACTCAATGAATGTTATGATCTTTGTTTTTTAAAAGCTGTATAAGGTCTTTCTTTAATACGCAAGTACTTTCGACTGTACATTTAGTCATCTTCAGGCATGGAAATTATTTTGTTTTTGGTAAAATTCAGGTAGCATCCGAGAAGAAAAAAATGCGAATTGAAATATGTTTTTTTTTTTTTTAATGTGTTATTGTTAACGGATACAAACTTTTGGAGTGTGCAGTCGCAACGCTAAGGTTGAATTTTTTGAAAATTTAAGTGAGTGCGTTTTTTTACTAATATGGCAACTTGAGAATTTTTTGTTGTAGGAGTTTATCAGTCAATGTGGCATGAACTAAATTGTTCAATAAATAGAGTAATGTCTCAGTTGTTATCCCGAAAATTCGCACGTCGGATCAGTTCTTTTAAATCAAATATGTGGTGCAGTTCAATTTATATTACAATGAATCATTCATACAAAAAGTAAATTAGTAAAGTTGATATATATATATATATATATATATATATATATATATATATATATATATATATGTGTGTGTGTGTGTGTGTGTGTGTATGAGAGAGTGATAGTGATAGAGATTGTTTTCCACACAGAAATTTACCTGTTTGATTTTTATGCAACCGTACGAGTTATAAACTTACTTTTCACTGTGAAATATAAAATGGCTCAATTGTATGAATGTTACGATAATAAAAATCGTCAATATTTCTCGTGTCCGAGTTTGGTTCATCCAGTGCCTCCACGATGTCTGAACCCGACATGACTCAAGAGGCCAAGTCGGGAATGGAACAGTCTCGGGTATTTGTCGTATGGTAGGGTGAGTGATGGCCTTTTTACTTCCTCTTGAGTCTTCCCCCTCTCCTCGAAAATGGAACAACTGAAATGAATTGCTCGTCCCCAGGATGATCGACGGTCTGCTGCTTCTGTTAGGGCAGATTCCGGTTTGAAGGCGGGAAGACTTCAGTTGGTCTTTGAATCTATGTTTTGGGGCTTCGCTATCTCGTTTGCCGTTGACGATATTAAAAGTAAATTATGATATCCTCCTCCAATAGGAGTAGATAGGTTCGCCTATCGTCCGGTTCATACTCCTTCTCGTTTTTTTTAACAGGAATAGAGGTTTATCCCTTGCTTCCGGTTTATGATTGGGTTTCCGGCTTTTTCAACTTTGTATTTCTGACGTCTTCGCCTAAATTCTGAAATTTTATTCAATAATTATTATTATTCTTTTTTCCTCTCCCAATATGTGGGCCTATCGTCCGGTTCACACTCATCCCCGATCTTCTGAACTGGTGTAGAGGTTTATCCCTTGTTCCCCGTTTAGGATTGGGTTTCTGGTTCCTTCTGAAGTCTACTTCCACACTGTATTTCTACCGTCTCCGCTTGAACTCTGAACTGTTTTTCACTAATTATTTTTCTCCTTCCCCAATATGAGTAGATAGGTTCACCTATCGTCCAGTTTATACTCCTCCCCAGTTTTCTTAACAGGAGTAAATATTTATCCATTGTTTTCTGTTTAGGATTCGGTTTCTGGTTCCTTCTAAAGTCTACTTCCACTCTGTACTTCTAACGTCTCCGCCTGAAATCTGAAATGTTATCCAATAATTAAATCTTGGCCTCTTCAAATCTAGATTTAGCTAAAATATTTCCTGCATAACTCCCAAAACTTTCTTGCCCTTTCTTATGCTCATACAACATCACACAGTAATTCTCTACCTTGAGTGGCTCTTGTGCCGTGTATTGGGTGAACATTAATTTAAAAAATGAACAATTGAAAAAAAATCTATTACTATTTTTAACTGTCTTTAGAATTTGTAGAAATACTAATCTTTAGCCGAATAAAATCAATTTGAGCCCCAATAAAGAGAGCAATCACTTTTTTAGGGAAAAGTATTCAGCTCAGACTATACCAAGTTCTTAGAAGAGCCAGACGCTCAACAAGTTTTTAAAAGAAGTCAGAATGTCGGAGTTGCTCAGACAGAGTGAAAAGTTGAAGAGTAACTTATGGGATCAGCTCACTGCCGACTGCACTTGGTCAATGACCACTTAATATTTTGCCAAGAAAACGTTGGTGTAAAAAATTACAGAACTTATGGTGGCTACAAGTTAAGCTTATTTGTTGAGATTTTTTTAAAAATTGAATTCTTTTTTAAAATGTACTAAGGTTAGTAGAAACAAGCTAGTGGGAACTACCTTCACTTAGTCTGATAGGTGGCGCTAGTTTAAGACTATAAAAGCTCAAAGATAATCATCCTCTTTTCGTTCTAGGATACGGTTGGTAGAATAATTGTCCGGTCTTCCCTTCTACAGGGACTTAGTCATCCGGCTATGTGGTACATCTACATGCAGGCAAGCACACACACACACACACACACACACAAAACTACTAACCCTATTAATTCTTTTCATTTCCTTTTCAGCTGTTAATCATTCATTAGTAATATAAAAATACGTAAAAATATCTCCGTGTTGAAATGTATTAATTTTCAACCTGTCATTTATATATAAAAATGTTGGTCGCCTCCGCTTTTAGTTGTGTTATTGGAGTACAGTAACAAACTAAATCGATCCTGATTTTCTTCGAATCTGTGGGGGTCGACATAAAAAAGAGAGACAGAATAAGACTAGTAGCAAAAGGAAGAAAATAGAAAATGCTGGTAGAAGAGAGGAGGAAAAAAGAACTGATGAGGAAAGAAGTGGAATAGATAGCTAGATAAACCAAGGACGAAAAAGAAGCTGAAAGTGAAAAAGAGGAAGAGTGGAAACGAAAAGAGTGAAGAAAAGATCTTTTTAAGCCGGTTGAAAATAGTGCGTGAAAAGATGAAACTAACAATTTTTTAAGGACTCAAAGGCCGATCACACGCCTTCTATCACGAGGGAAAAAGCATCAACCGCAACTTTAAACGATGAAATTACCATTTCCGATTAAAAAATTGAATAAGTAACAATTAACATGGTTACTTACTTCTGACAACAAAAGAATTGACGGTGTTAAATAAAATTTTTATGTGATTATTCAGTTGTTTGAAAGAAAGCGTCAAGGAAGAACGAGCTTTATGAGCTGAACATTTGAGAAAGGCTCCGAGGAGTAGTTCTTGAGTATGTGTAAAAATAGGTTTGATCAGCTCGAAGCCACTTATAGCTATGAACCAAAAATGACATAAAAACCAACTGTAGACATCAGAGAATAACCACATATTTTACTGCAACGAAGAGATAGAGGCTTTGAACAGTTCAGACATTTTCGTTTCTTGAAGTAGGTTTTGTTTTTTATTTCGTATAGAATTGTTTAGCAGACTTGGAATCTTGGTGTATTTTCTGTCTGAATTTCTGGAATGAAGAGTTATCATTATTCACATGCAGACTATTGTCCTCGTCTTTGTTGCTATTTTCACAACGTCACTGATCACACACCTCTGGTTTTCACCAAGTGATTATCAGCCCGGGTAATCTCAGTCAAGACTGGATTAAGGAATGAATTTGGTGACATAGTCATTGTGAGTTCAATCCCTGGATCGGGTAGCATGTATAATGGAAACAAGGTGAGCAATAACTGAGCAGTACTAAATACGAACAAAACGAGATATTCCTAGACATGGTCAGTGGAGCAAGAGGAATCTGCCCCTTTAAATTAAATAAAGGGTTCATTTCGAAATTTACTGACGTTTACTTGGATCATTAAGTACTTGATGAAGATCGCAGGACACAACGGCCAAAACGTTGTGCTAATAATACCAGAGATGAGGATAATAGTCCGAATTTACATAATGATTGCTTTAACACTTTAGATCTGACTTTTAAACAAACTAATAAATTCATAAGAGTGTGGAGTAAAGACAGAAATGTACACTAAACCAGTCAAACATCAAATGACAAAAATGGTTTCTGAGTCGAAGGATCCGCGCATCCTTCCAGTTAATAAATTAATTCTTTGAAAATAAATATTTAACATTATCCAACCAACAAGTTGCACTCTCGCCGACAATAAAAATATGCTTTGTGATCCTTTTGAAGAGTATTTGAGTAAAGTCTCTAGAAGGAAAAAAACAGTAAGGAACGACAACAGACGGTATCTGTTCCCAACACGTCTTAAAATAGCTTCCCTTAATGATTCATCCATCTTCCTCACCAAGCTACGTGACACTTACACTTCCCTGCTCACTTTCTACCTTGCCTCTTTTTTCTTACAGATCATGAAGAAATCACATTTCTTTTCATCTTAATAACAACTACAAGCAATAAACTTCAACACTCATACACGCTGAGAAAAATAGTTGTAAAAAGACGAAAAAAAAATTTTATATTTAAAAACCATTCCTGCTTTTTTTCTTTATTGTGGGTTGATTCACATCTGCAATAAGAGCACCATTCTTTAGAGCCAATGTATTGTTTTTTCTTTAAAGGCGGGACAAAAACATTTTCACTGTAACATTATGTAAAAAAACAACTGGGATTATTTACAGAAATTGACAACTGCAGTTATAATCAGCTATTTTATTGAGCCATAACTATCCCGTTCAATGTAAATGTTTAGAGTTTATTTCATTGTCTTAATGTGCATGTTTGTAATATTCCTTTAATAATATCAGAATCTTACTTAAATGAAATAGAGTGGATTGTTTAGTGAATAGTGATTATCTAAGAGTAGCTTAGATGTGGCACAAGGCCGAAAGTAGGAGGCACCCAGTGAGAATCGAACTTACTATTCAATCGAAATTGATCTAGGGAGACAAGCTTGCTAACCATTACGCCACGTTGAAGTACCCTGGTGATTTCCTAAATGTAGCTTAGGAGTGACACAAGGCTGAAAGTATGGGACACTTAGTGAGAATCGAACTTACAATTCAGTTGCAATTGAGCTAGCAAGACAAGCTTGCTAACCATTGCACCATGTCAAAGTGCCCTTTACTTAGTGAATAAGCAATCTAGTTTTTCAAAGCAGGCAATTCCTACTCTCTTGGAAGATTAGTGCAATACTTCTCCAGTCTCTTTTTTTGGGGGCCTAGGTGCCAGACTAAATAGAATGAAATTATTGGGGAGCCATCTTGACACAGTGGAAAAAAAAACAAAAATGAAACAAAAAATAAATCTGATGGCAAATTGAATTTTTATATCACTGTGGACACATCAGTTCTTTATATGATACTGTTGGAATTAGTTAGTGGCATTTGACCTCGGGGTTAAAATGAACGGTTTGTTTACCTGCACCAAGAAGATTAATAAAGGCTGAGAATGACGAGGAAACACCTGTGTAATTTTAGCAAAACGAGATAAAGAATTTATTTATGAATTTGCTTGTTTGAAGTAGTGTCAGTGGCTGGTTTCAGGAAAATAAAGCACGAATTTTTAAAGTCTGTAATTTCAATGAATTGTCATGAAAAGGAAATGTTCATACAACAGATTAAATCAACTGACACAAAATAATATTCAAAAGTCTTTAAAACAAATTAAGTGAGTTCGTTTTTCACATAATGGTTATACAGTTGCAAACATTTAAAAGTAGACAAAGTGAGATAGTTTGAAATACTTATCTTTCTGGAATTGTTGAAATAAAGTTCTTTGATGTGTCAAGTGCTTGGTTAAGGCCGATAATACAGGATGTCTCAAAAAAATGTACTCACACTTTAACGGTCTCTAACATGCTTTTTTTGCTTTTTATGCAGGTGTAATTAATTAATCACAGCATGGCAGGAAAACAACTTAGATTGGAAGAGAGGAAGTTTGTCCTGAAATATTACTGGAAGACCGAAAACGCCATGGAAGTGCAAAGACGATTCAGAAGGGAATTCACAAAACTGCTACCAATGCGCCGGACCATTGCTCGCATCAGAGACAAATTTGAAGCAGATGGAGCTGTCCAGAACCTCAACAAGAAACGTTCTGGGTGACCACGGACATCCACGAGCCCTGGAAAAGAAGAGCAGGTGCAGGAAACACTCCTTTGATCACTACAGAAATCACTTCGACAAACTGGTCGGGAAACCCACATTTCAAAAGATAGCGTCTATCGCATCATGAAGTGTCTGCACTGGAAATGCTATATTCCAACACTAATCCATGCTCTCAATGAATATGATCCTGACCAGAGAGTTCAATTCTGTGAATGGTACCTAGCAAAATGTGCAGAAGATGCAGGGTTTCCACACGAAATTGTGTGGAGTGATGAGGCAACCTTTAAATTAAATGGCTCCATTAATCGCCATAATTTCACGTACTGGGGTCCTATAAATCCTCATGTAACACTTGAACACCATGTAAACTTACCAGGAGTAACAGTGTTGTGCGGGATATCTGCATTGGGCATCATAGGACCATTTTTTAACGGAACTGTCACTGGGGAGAGTTACCTCAACTTGCTTCAGGAGTTTGTCGGTCCACAATTTTCAGAGATGTTTGGTGATGATGACAAGATTTACTTTCAGCAAGATGGAGCATCTCCCCACTACCATCGCGATGTACGAGCTCACCTCGATGCAGCTTTTCCAGACACATGGATTGGACGAAGGGCTACCATTGAATACCCTGTGCGTTCCCCAGACCTCATGCCCATGGACTTCTTTTTGTGGGGATATTTCAAAGACAATGTTTATCGCACCAAACCAAGAACAATTAATGCATTGAAATTGGAAATTGAAAGACAATGTCGCAATATTCCTAATGACCTGTTTCGTGTCATTTGCGAATCCCTTGGTGCGCGTTATCAGCGTTGTCTGGACAATAATGGTCATCAATTTGAACATTTGCGAACATGATTCTTCAGTTACATTTTTCTTCTGTATTTGAAGCTATTCCATTTCACTCTATGTTCATAAATAAAAGTTTTCTTGTCATTCAAAGTGTGAGTACATTTTTTTGAGACACCCTGTATAATTGGCAAGTAATTCGACAACGGCGAAAATCTGAATGCTGGACAACTGAACAAAAATGAAATTTTTTCACCTGACTTTGGACATTCTTCTCTTGTTGATTTAATTTTTTTCCTTGTTTTATATAAAGAAGGATTTTGTATAGGCTCGCTATTTTCTTTTCTTTTTAGGCTCAACAGCTAATTCCTGTGAAAACAAGGTTTTCATTGGTCCAAAGAAAATTTCACATAGGCTCGAGATTTTCTTTCCATTTATTTCCCCAGCTCGCCCGAATTTGAAGGGAGTGGATAAAGGGAGTTATTATTATTATTATTATTATTATTTTGTACTCACCACATTAATGAAGGATCTTGTATCCATAAGAAAACCAGAAACAAGGTTAAGATCACACAGAAGCAGTGTAGAGGACCGTGTGGGTTTGAGTGTTGTTGAATTGGGACACACGTGCTGTTTATTTCCTGCTAGAAGATCCAACTACAAGAAAATGCTAGACTCAAACTGAGTCCAAACGAAGATGTAAAGAAAACAAACAAGAGCTATATATATATATATATATATATATATATATATATATAGTGTTAACAAATATATGTATTAAACAACAAATTTACAAGTGACAAAGACATTAACATTTGTGTTTGTGTGTGGACGTAAAGAGTTTGTATTTTGGTGAATGTTTGTACGTACGTGTATATGTGTTTCATGTTGTTTCCCCTTAAGCGGGCGAAATGCAGATTTCTACGAAAGATTACATTTTGTAATGTGTCCGCTGAAATGCAAAGTGAAAAAGAGAACAAGGCAAGAAGTTGCCCAGTATTTATAGTGTAGAGAGAGCGTCCCCTAGTGAACAATTAGGGAATTAAGGAGGAGCTAACTCCAACAGCGGGACTGGATTATCTTTTAGACTAAAGTGAAGCCTAGGGTCCCTCATGCCGTTATAAAGCAGTGATTATAATTTTCTAGATGTGATAGCATGTAAATAATTTCATAAATTGAAATGATATCAGTATGACAAACTCATAAATAGAACCTCAAACCTGGTTGTATGCAGTCTAACACTGAGTCTGTTGCAGTTTTACAGCTTCTGTGATAATTCCCCAACAAATAGATTTAAAAGAACACAGAGAATGGAAATAACATTCAATAACAGTAATTTTATATAACAACAATTTTGGTATTTGATGAGTGAGTAAAGATCCTCCTGTTCAAAATGTCACTATGAGTGTTAGTAAGAAATATCAGATTAATTTATGTTTGTTCTGTTTTTTGTAATTAAAGTTTATGTGAAAGAAAAGTAGTGTATAAAATTTCTGTAGTTGTGTATATGAGAGAAAAGAATGTTTCTATCAGTTAAGAAAAATCAAGTCCAACATGTT